GCTATAAACTTCAGCTTTCCAAACACAAGCATCATCTGTTAAGGCCAAAGCTTTACAGAGGATCCCCCAACACCAGGCTGGGAGTCCAACCAGCCCAGGGCGTATCTTCCCTGTGTCAGCAGACACCTAATGTATTTTTAGTGCTGTCAGAAACAAACCACTCCTTGATATTCCAGAGGGGAGAAAAAAAAAAAAAAAATCATCTGAAAGCGACGGTGAAGCTAATATTTTAAAAGACCCTTTCGAGAACTCGCCAGCCTCCTGGGGGAGCTTGTCAACATCTCCCACGTTAAATAAAAGTCACTTTAACATCCACAGGGGTTTTGAAGAAAAGCTGGAACATATCAAAGCTGCTGGGATGGCAAGCTTCATAACGTGCACAATACATCAACACTTACAGACACTAAATCCTCCCCAGCCTCAAGGGAGCTAACAGCCCCCCGGAGTAAGCTCTTTTTCCTAATGTATGTCTCAAATGAACCGCTAATCTCCTCTCTAAACTTGACAGCTGTCCTGCATTCACTCAAAACCCCCTGCGCTTAAATCCTTCTATCGTGCTTGTTAAACGACTTGTTAGATCATTTTTTTCCTATAATATGAAGAAAGAAATCTTTCCCCTGACCCTGTACGAAGACCACACTGATCTGCTGCTGGCGGGCACAAGAGTGGCACCAGGTTGCTTTGGTCCTGTGGGTTTTGGAGGCTTCCTAGGGAGGCAGCGGTGCCCAGGGACATCATGGCACCCACGGCACCCTGCCCAGACAGGCTCTCCTGATGGCAGTCAGCAGCCAGATGTGGTTTGGTGACCCCGAGCACCAAAGCTGCCTCCCTTAGGAACAGGGTGACACATACGCTGGAGTCCACTCCCACAGCTCTATGGCTCCATACTTTTCATATATACTTTTTTTTATTATTATTATTATTATTATTTATTTCCCAGGAGCAATCCTGGCCTCAACAAACTCAACAAACAGCCCACAGGTGCTCCCATACCAGTCCCCCCAAGCAGATTTCTCACTCCCAGCAGACCCAGTGCCTTCCTGCACTCAGATCAGCTTAAATCTGTGACGTGGCTTCTCACTGCTCTGAGGGACTGCAGAAAACTTTCCCCTTCTCTGGGCAGAGTTTGGCCCCCGGTGTTGAATTCACGGTGCCAACAGCTATTTGTCATTTCTGCTCCAGCCCATGGCTCTGCAGGGTTGATGTGCAGCCTTCCCCTGCAGACTCCCAGAAGACACCACCAAGACAGCTGTGGTCCTGCACTGTCAAAGTCCTTGCAAGGCTTGGCAAAAGGGTAGTTTGGGACAGAGTCAGAAATAGTCCCAACCTCCAGCTGAGGACAAGGCAGTCATTTTTCATGCGGTTCTCACCGTTTCAAATGAAAAACGTTTTCTAAGAAGACCAAAATGCCACTGCTGCATCCTTCCTGGAAGCAGCTACTTGTCCATTAGCTGTTTAAGACCATATTTTTGTTTATGGTTTGAAACTGTCTGATGAAAGAGTTTCACTGAGACGTCAGCTTGTTCCAGTGTTAACTCTTGCACTGTGACAAGCCACCCAGCCAGCGAGGTCCACTGAGTTCTGATGACACTTGACAGCTCTGCAGAGACCCGACCCCTGAGTCGAGCTGTTGAGTTTTTGCTCAACACCTGGAACATGAGGGGCCGTTTAAAAAAAGCCTGGACAGGGAAAGGGGTGGAATAACTTCTGCAGCACATCTCACACACCTGGAGCTCTGCCAGAGCCGGTGTCAGTCACAGAGGGTGCAGTTACCGCAGTGCTGGTCACCAGCATCTATCCTTCGTGGCGTTTTTCTGCTGTGGGGACTTTTTATGCTGCTCCAGGTTCTTCATCACTCCCTGCACTAGCAGTGAGGGGGACAGGAGTGTTTTCCTTTCTGCCTGTGCTATGCACACACTGCTGTTGCATGAAGAGATGTGAAATCCCTCTCTCTCCAAGATTTCCTCTTAAAACGTCTAGAGAAGAAGATAAACAACAACAACTGCCCCAGGATGTGATCATTGACCACTCCAAGTGATCACCCTGTGCTGTTTCACCCATCCCTCACCTCTGCCATTCCCTGCTGGCTCCAGCACAAGCCACAAATGCCCACCCCTCCTGAAAATCACTCATCCACTGGTGTTCAGAGAGGCAACGTCCCTGCGCCTCACTGGATGGACCCCAAAGCCCTCCACTGATGAGAGAAAGGGTCTGCCATGTAACTGGAGGAGAGCTCTAGGCTGAGCCTGACACCACACAGCTGTGAAACGTCCCTGTGGTCACCTGGTGCAGAATCGAGTCCCACCACAAACAGGATCACCTTTCCAAATATTTTCAATACCAAAAGGAGCCCTTTTGTCCAACCAGAACATTCACACTCTGAAACACTCTCTCCACCCAGCTCCACTCCCTGCATCCATCCGCATTGTCCCTTGGCCCCCCCATACACCCACCTCCCAGCCACCTCCTGCAGCTGGAGAAGCCCATGGAGGCCTCACGGCGCAGGGAGCCGGCCCCTCAGGAGGTATTTCTGACACCTGAGCTTATGAAACCTGCTGGTTTCAGCTGCAACATCACAAAGCTGTTTTACCTGCCAGAGGAGCTCCCATCAGACCTACAAATCAAGGCCCCGCAGAGCAGAGACAGATTTACAACCAACAAAACTCCACCCACCGCGCTCAGCCCAGCAGTTCTTACCAGGGGCTGGAAATTAATAGGATTTCTAATTGCAGCTGCATTTTTAACTCCTCTTGCCCAAATGGAAGAGCACGCGTGTGATGCTTCCTAGAGGAGGAACTGGTTTCTGGGGGGCCAGGGAAGGTGGGAATCATCAGGAGTAGGAAAGGGGACCTGTGTGTCCCCACCACGGCCCCGCAACCAGCAGCATGGTGGCTGCTCCACAAGCATGAGCTTGGCCACCAAAACCTGGACTCACCAGACTCCCCGGGTGGGTGCTGAGGGACACCCGTGCCCATCCTGCTGCCTGGGGTCCCTCACGCAGCACCCACAGCCAGAGCTCAGGTCAGCCTTTCCCTTTCTAGGGCTGAACCTCCCACAGCGGTTCCACACCCAAGCAGCAGGAACCCATGAGCACACATACCTCAGACCCGATCCAAAACCTTTGTTAGCTTGAGGAGATAACAATCAAACCCCCTTCTTCAGAGAGGTCCAAAGAAGAAATCATCCCTTCCCCATGCAACTTATTAGCAGCTACAGGAAGGCACCTGTTGCCCTTAATGAGCTTACGAGGCGCTAATTGCTTTCCATTTGGGGTTGAATATTACCAGACTTGGTTTTGCCTTGCTGAAGAGGGAGTTCTGGTGGGACCCGGCTCTGGAGCCCTCAGCACAGGGAAGACATGGACCTGTTGGAGCAGGGACAGAGGAGGAGGCCACAAAGATGTTCTGAGGTTGGAGACCCTCTGCTGCGAGGACAGGCTGAGAGAGTTGGGGGTGTTCAGCCTGGAGAAGGCTCCAGGGAGAACATATAGAGGTCTTTCAGTACTTATGGGGGGCCTACAGGAAAGATGGGGACAAACTTTTTAGCAGGGCGTGTTGTGATAGGAGAAGGGGTAATGGCTTTAAACTAAAAGAGAGATTAAAATTAGATATAAGGAAGAAAATGTTTACACTGAGGGTGGTGAGATGCTGGCCCAGGTTGCCCAGAGAGGTGGTTGATACCCCATATCCCTGGAAATGTTCCAGGTCAGGTGGGACAGGGCTCTGAGACACCTGATCTAGTTGAGGTTGTCCTGGGAGGGGATGGGGAGAGAAGGCTGAGGGGGGGATCTCATCAATGCTTATAAATACTTAAAGGGTGGGTGTCAGGAGGATGGGGCCGGTCCTTTTTCAGTGGTGCCCAGTGACAGGACAAGGGGCAATGGGCACAAACTTGAATATAAGAAGCTCCATCTAAACATGAGGAGGAACTATTGACTTTGAGGGTGGCAGAGCCCTGGAAGAGGTTGTCCAGAGAGGTGGTGGAGTCTCGGTGTCTGGTGACATTCAAACCCACCTGGACACGTTCCTGGGGGACCTGCTCTGGGTGGACCTGCTCTGGCAGGGGCTTGGACTAGATGATATCCAGAGGTCCCTTCCAATCCCATGGGATTGATCCTGTGACCAGGTGGCCTTTAAAGGTCCCTTCCCACCCGAACTACCCCATGATCCTGGGAAGACCCGTCCCAGATGGCGCTTTGCCCGCTCCGAGCGGCACCGCTCCTCCCCGGGGGAGGCTGGGCTGGGCCGGATCGTGTCCCCCCCGGGATGCTCTGTGTCCCCCCTACACTGTGTCCCCGGGATGCTCCCTGTCCCCGGAACCGCTCCGTACCCCCCGGGATGCCCCGTGTCCCCCCCGCACTGTTCCCTGTCCCCGGAACCGCTCCGTGTCCCCCCGCACCCCTCCGTGTCCCCGGGATGTTCCGTGTCCCCCCGCACCGTTCCGTGTCCCTGGAACCGCTCGGTATCCCCCGGGATGCTCCGTGTCCCCCCACACCGCTCCGTGTCCCTGGGATGCTCCGTGTCCCCCCGCACCCCTCCGTGTCCCCGGGATGTTCCGTGTCCCCGGGATGCTCCGGGTCCCCCCCCGCACCGTTCCGTGTCCCCGGGATGTTCCGTGTCCCCCCGCACCCCTCCGTGTCCCCGGGATGTTCCGTGTCCCCCCATCCCCCTCCGTATCCCCTGGGATACCCCATGTCCCCCCGCAGCGCCGCCGGTCCCGCACGGAGCATCCCGGGGACACGGAGCGGTGCGGACCCTCCGCGAGCCGCACCCAGCCCCGCCCCCTCCCTCCCCGCCCCTCCCGCCAGCCAATGAGCTCCGGGGGTGCTCCGTCCGCCGACCAATAGCAGCGCGGCGGCCGCCCTCCGCTTCCCGCCCCCGCCCCCTATTTGAGGCGCAGCGCGGGGCCGCGCGCGGGCAGAGGCGGGAGCGGAGCCCGGCGGAGCGGAGCGGGGTGCGGGGGTGGGGGGGGCGGGGAGAGGCTCCGGTGCGAACCCCGCACCGCAGCCGGGGTGGGGGGGAGCGGCGGCACCACCACCAGCACCCCCATGGAGGCTTTTCCCGGCGGCAAGCTGGAGCAGCACCGGCACCTGCCGGCCGTGGAGTGCCTGCCGGGCCCCCGCTACGGCGGGCGGAGTCACAGCGCCTGCGGGAACGTCTTCAACTCCTGGAACGACTACCTGGGCTTGGCCACCCTCATCACCAAGGCCGTGCGTCCCGGCAAGGCCTTCGGCGCCGAGCCCCCCTCGGTGGTAGTGGCGGCGGCCGAGGAGGAGGAGGAGGAGGAAGAGGAGGAGGAAGAAGAGGCGGCGGGGCCGTACTTCGAGGGCGCGCTGGACTTGCAGGAGCTAGACCTGTGCGGGCATCACCACCATCATCATCACCACCACCACGGCGAGAGCCTGCTGGAGGAGCGCTTCGCCGATTTCAGCCCTTTCCCCGGGCGCGGGGGTCCCGCCGCCGCCACCGCCGTGCTCTTCGACTGCTCGGGGGATCACCCGGGCCGGGAGGGCTCACCCCACTCTTGGGGGGGTCTGGTGGTGGCGGGGCGGCTGCCGAACCACCCGCGGGCTTCCTCCCGTTTGCTCAAACCCGAGCTGCAGGTCTGCGTCTTCTGCCGGAACAACAAGGAGGCGGTGGCCCTTTACACCACCCACATCCTCAAGGGACCCGACGGCCGCGTCCTCTGCCCGGTGCTGCGCCGTTACACCTGCCCCCTCTGCGGGGCCAGCGGCGACAATGCCCACACCATCAAGTACTGTCCCCTCTCCAAAATGCAGGCGGCCAAACAGCTCAAACAACACGCCCGGACCGCCCTGGGGAAGAAGGGGCGTTAAGCACTAGGACCCCGGGGGGGCGGCCCCGATATCCCCCCGGCTCTTTCCTTTGGGTTTTTGTCTTTGAAGCGGATGGCGGGTTTGGGTTTGGTTTGGTTTTTTTTTTTTTTCCTTGTTCTTTCGCACATTAATATATATATATATTAAAGGCGGAGAGTGGCGAGCGGGGGCGCAGGGCCGGTCGCCGGGGGCGTCTGGTTGCGCGCTGGCCCGCGCGGAACCCGGCGCCGGGCCGCGGGAATTGCGCAGCTCAGATGCACTGTGTTTGTTTATTGTAAGAAAAGAAAAAAAAAAAAACAAAAACAAACAAAAAAAGAAAACAACCAAATATATATATAAATATATGTGATTTTTACAGAAACGGATTTACGG